ATGAATCTACTGGATTATGTTGTGCTTGGAGGCAAAGTAAACTTGCCACAATTGGTCCCACCAACCAAATCCTTTATGATCTTTAATTTCTGGGATTGAAAATAGTTCTAAGAACTTCTTGGCCAACATTCAGAAATATAACAGCTATATGCGGATGACATCATTTGGCGCTACACATTAGTGTTGTGTCAATCGTTCATTTTATCAAAACCGAATCAATCAGTGACCGATTTCGAAAAGGGCCGAATCTTTTCAATCAATTTGATTTATTGTTGTGTCTATATTTTCTGTTTTACTTGGAATCATAGTTAGCTGTCTTCTGCTTTTTATTGCATCATGATCTTATCAAAATACTTACGTGGAAATAGATATTTCATTCAATATTTAATTCAACACATAAGCAAATCTACAAATCGATATCGCAACTGAATAATATACAAATAGTATTACAATATGTAATAACTAATGGACAAATCTTTAAAAATTACAGATACCAGGACAAATTTATCACTTACTGGGGACACTGTTACCACAACCTGATGCAGATTATCAATTTTTACAAATTTATTTTATGGGCAATTCAAGTAAGCAATATGATGTGTCGAACTTAATGCTCCATTCAAAAAATGCTGTTTTATTAAAGTTTAGATCTTTTATTTATCGATAGAGGCAGTAGGGTCAACTAGTTTAAAAAATAATTCTAATTTGAGAAACTAATGAGAAAAATGACTAGTGCATTTCGGTATAGTAAATAAACGAATAACTTCATTTTGTCTTCTCGATGGCCAATCATCGTTAAAATCTTGTGGATTTCAGTTAAGCCCGACATTTTCGTGAAATTTTAAACAGCAGTGCGGAGCCACGGCATTCTTCGAATTAGATCATGTTTGTTAAGTATCTTCCGAGGTATCTTCTAAACGAGAAGGGATTAAAAGTTGAAATTTGACAGTTATAAAAGATTTATTTTGTAAGGAAAATCTGAATTGTCATTTCAGATGGAAAAATGTAAAGAGGTAAGAAGATTAAAGTATTTGCGATAAATTTAAGCCTGTTCAGGCCATTCAGTTTCCAATCCGTCTTCTGCTTTTCATCCAATTGCGAAATTACCTCAATCAATCAAAGAATGAGGGGATAGACAGTTGTCCCGATACCAAAGAGAAGCTTGAGTGCGATATAAGGAAAGTTAATGTTATTGCCCACAAAGGAAACCTTTTTTATTTCTGACTCATTTGTAGTGCAAATAAAAAATGTATATCGTATATTTAGACTAGCCTATATGTCTCTTAAAATTTATTAAGCTTTACTACATATATTAACCAAATGAATTGCTGAAGCTAAATTAGACAACCATATTCTTCCTAGTAGCATATGAATATTTCTGGTGTTCTCTATAGGAAAACTTCTGGTTTTCTGGATCGCCAAGAACAGAAATGTGCTGAACTCAGGGCCGCCATTTATCAATAAGCATAACCGTTATGAAGGGATAAGTTAATAGGAAAGCAACGCGTAGTGCTCCTAAATGTATTTTTATTAGGTATCTGTGGTGATGGGATATTAAGGAGGCATGCGTATGGTGAGTAAAACCCTTGCTAGGTTAAAAAAAATACTAATGGGTTAGACCTCGGTAGTCGTACCGAACTTTTAAATGAAAAAAAGTGAAAGAAAAATGAAATCTGGTTAAAACTAAGGTCATTTGTCAGTAAGAAATAATGAAATGGAAAACTAACCACTCTCATCAGATGAAATTAATAATAATAATGAAAAATAAAACAGCACTAAAGGAAAAATTTGTTAAATAGATCATTTTTAAACCTGTTGTGGGACAACGGCTTCCAGAGATATTTTTAAAAGATGTAGGGCAATAGCATAATTTTTAGGGGACATGGACCGCAGATTTGAAATTCTTACCTTCAATATACAGGGTACCACAAACTCTGTGACCTATCTTAGAAGTGTATTGAAGAATGGTTGAATATTTTATTATTTTCATGTTAAACATAGATAATTAAAAATTTTGGAACATTTCGTAAATGTAAAAAAATTGGTATATTTAAAAAATCTAAATCATTGCGCCCTACGGCCGCAACCCATCTTTTTCCATAACTGTACTTCTAACGGGCGATCGAGGTTGGGGAATCCCGTATAAAGTCAAAGCGATCCAGACAATCCAATTTAACAAACAAAAATTAAATTTCTATATTTAGTATCAGAATAATTATGTAGCGTGCAGCCAATACGTCCCGACGATCAAATAAATTTATTATTTAAAAATTCGTCGCTCTTGTACCAGTTACCGAGGAAATTTGTTGTACCTACGTCATATTTGACGATCGTATCGCTTTCGAATAGGGTTGCCAACTATTTTCAGATGAAATATAATATTTTTAGAATTAAGGAGTAAATAATAAAAAAATAGTATATCCCAATAAAATTGATAGAAATAAAACTCGTTGCATAAATATGTTTATATTTTAATTTTTCTTTCAGTCTTTGCGTCGCTAATAATTGGTAGCTATGAAATAGGAATAGTATTGCTAAAAAGAAGGAACCAGCAATGCAAAGAAAATTTAGTGTTCAGATTTTATAAGCACTATCGAAAACAAGATGTTAGTTGTAATCGACGTTTGAACGGAAAAATATAGTATTTTTGAGTACTATATTTTTTTAAACTAGAACCTCGGTTAAAAAGTATCCTGTAGGGGCCTTATATAAAAATTTTATATACAATATAAATATATATAAATATATATTTTATATAAAAATAAAAAGCTAATAAACACTAACATAGCTACTAAAAAACGAAAGAAACTAAACTACCTAAACTAATAACTTATCTATCTACATACATACCATATTTCTTCTTGGGAAAAAAAAAATCATTATTTTTGTATGTTTATTTCATATTCTCGATGTGCTTCTCAACCTTCCAGGACGCTTGCATAATATCATCAGTTACATTATCAGTAGATTGTAAAAAATGTGTAACAATTTTAGGGGCACAAAGCGCTTTAGAATAAGTTGGTACTTCGTCCTGTTCAACATCATCGTAGCTTTCGTTACCACAGCTTTGAGAATCATTTGGCTGTTAAACTTCAGTAATAATATCATTAATAAAAAGTTTGCATTTTTCGCTTCCTGTCATATTTGCATAAACCCAAATGGGGTAGCTCATATTCGACTGCTTTGCACCCAAACACTTTTCTCCTCTAAATTTAAGGGAGTCATCTTGTAAAATAGCCCAGTCTCGTCACCATTGAACATATCCTCAGAGCTGTAATTTTGTGCAATACTGGGCCACTTATCCTCTAACGAGTTTAGTACAGCTTGTTTGTTAATATCTCCCGCTGCGCCAGAAATTTTTCCAACGTTTATGCCGTACAGAACTTTAAAACGTTCGAGCCAACCTGTAGAACAACTAAAATCCTCACCCTGTAATCTCCTGGCTAATTCTTCGGTTTTCGGTTTTACAACTCGACCACTTCTTGCAATATTTTTGGATCTTCGAACTTGAAACCAGAAAAAGAGCTTTATCTACATCTGGACGTACAGGCTTTCTAATTTTTTTGATTCTGTACGATTTGCAGCCATTTGCTTTCCTGATCTTTTCGCGATTACTCCAAATTGTAGATATATCTCTATGTTTTCTTTTATAATTAAAGAATTGCGCACCTTTCCAAAAAACAATAATATCGAAACCATCGGCCGGACACGCACGTTTCAGAGAAAACCTCGCAAATGATTACTGAAAAATCCCAGATGGTTTCGGGCAACCACCGCTCCATAATCCGGTTTTAGCGTACACTCGTACTTTATAACCAGAACAATAGTGAAAATATTGTACTTTGTAACGGTAATAAAAGTTATATATGGTACGTAATATCCGATGAAAAATCAACAGTATTTTCGTTACTTTAGTAAAAAATGTACGTAATACCCGGAAGTATGTTATATCCCATGTATGTTATAAACGGAGTTTACAGTATACGGTACGCTGAGCTAAAATATAGTGTAACACATAACATGGTACAGCTAGCATCCCCAGGAAGGTACTATAAATATTTACATTGAGTATTAAAATGTATAAGACTATTAAAAATGTCAATGTGTCGATGAGAATACATATTCCTCTCTCGGAACTATTGCTAACTCTGGACAACATTTGCGGGGTTACGGTGTTAAAAGCGTCTCTAATTTTTTTATGTATTCTCATAAAAGGAAGTCTAGTGGTGTTAAGTGATTTGGGAGACAAATTTTAAAACCCACATCTTTCAATCCACCTGTTTTCTATAATCAGGCAGAACTCCATTTAGCTGAAGCCACATCATTTTTCCAATAATTAGAGGGACTTCTATAAGACACTGGTAGGCTCAACAAATTATCTGATATCTCCCAATCTCATAAGCAACGAGACACAATAAAACGTTTAGTGAGAAAACACAAAAATCAGAATTTCGCTAATTCTACGTAAACGAAAAGAGTTAACCATACACTACCCCAGTGGTGGGGAAACTTTTTTTAAGACGGGCCATTTGCTTAATCGTTAAAAAATTTGTGTTTTATAAACATATAAATATATTACTACATACACTTATCCACAATAACGCATTTTACCACAAACCGAAACTCAATTGAACGTACTCGACGCGCGTTTCGCCAACCAAGTTGGCATCTTCAGGAGAAGATTAAAACTCAAACTATTTCAAAAAATATTTAAGTACAACGCATACTAATTTTGATTGTCAAATCCAAAAAAGCTATATCATATAGGGAGTGCAATTTAAAAAAGTACAAGTTTGATACTTTAAACTTTCAAAATTTTCAAAAAGTAGCCATAATATGACGTCGCATATCCCTCAAGCAAAACTTGTTGAAAACTTTGTCTTTTAACTACAACAAGTTTATTTCGTACGCTGAGCTGAAAATATAGGACAAAGTAATATATTGTAATACGATTGGCAACCCTAATTTCAAGTGCGTCGCGACGTTTCGGTTTTACTTACGCTCGTAATCTTTTTCATTGAATTTCGGCTGAATGTGAACATCGTCATCGTGAAAATCATAAACGGCGTTGTTGTCGTTGTCCATGGCAAAGACCTTTGCGCACTCGTCGTCCAGTTGGACTTCGTCTTTTGTGGCTCCACCATCTTTCTGCAAAAACAAAAGACGACGACTTTAAAAGGACCGTTTTCCGAAATATTTAACAACATTTGCTCCTAAGTAAATCTTTCTACTTATTTGTGTTTGTTAAATTTTAAAGTGAACGTTGCTTTCGCAATAACTTCGAATCATCATCGGTTCGATCAGGGCATCATATTTCGAAAGAGTACAAACAGGCACGGCTGACAAGAGGCATTCATTTGTTTTAATACTAATAATTAGAAGAATTATGTCCTAAGTTTTACAGTGACAAAACCTGTTATGCAGTCACACTCAGATTTGCCTAGGCAAAGTGCGCATTACCAGCCTACTTTTACATTTCGCAAGTAAGGGGTATTTTTTTCCGATGTATAGAAATTTAAGTTGCAATAAAACAACGATGGATTATTCGATTGACAGGAATTTTATTTATCCGAAAGATAATCTTGTGGCATTACATTTTAAATATGATTTCTGGCATATGGCCGCCACGGCTGGCGCGAATGTAGTCCAATCTGGACGTCCAATTTTCGATGACTTTTTGCAACATTTGTGGCCGTATATCGGCAATAACACGGCGAATGTTGTCTTCCAAATGGTGAAGCGTTTGTGGCTTATCCGCATAGACCCACAGAAAGTGGGGCTATGTAAAGTCGGTAGGGAGGGGCGGTGTTAAATCACAAGATCTTGGAGGCCAATTCACAGGTCCAAAACGTGAAATTAGGCGGTCACCAAATGTGTGTTTCAATAAATCGATTGTGGGACGAACTGTGTGACATGTTGCGCCGTCTTGTTGAAACCACATCTCCTGGACATCATGGTTATTCAATTGAGGAATGAAAGAGTTATTAATAATAGCTCTATACCGATCACCATTGACTGTAACGTTCTGGCCATCATCGTTTTTGTAGAAGTACGGACCAATGATTCCAGCAGCCCATAAAGCGCACCAAACAGTCAGTTTTTTTGGATGTAACGGTGTTTCGACATACACTTGAGGATTAGCTTCGCTCCAAATGCGGCAGTTTTGTTTGTTGACGTAGCCATTCAACCAGAAGTGCGCTTCATCGCTAAACAAAATTCGCTTATGAAAATCGGGAACAACGGCAATCTCGTTTTGGGCCCATTCGACGAATTTACGCCTTACTTGATGATCGTTTGGCTTCAATTCTTGCACGAGTTGGATTTTGTAAGCACGTAGACCAAGATTCTTCCTCAATGCTACACTCTACAGCAGCAATAGCTTCTTCTGTACGCACCGTACGGTGTCTTTGGGGATGCGAGTTATCAATAAGAGTAAACGTGGTGGGAAAACGTTCCATGGTCAATCGAATTAACTGCTCCGATGGACGATTTTGTCGACGATAAAATGGACGTAGTGCGCGATACGTATTCCGCACAGACCCATTATTTTCGAAATAAAATTGCACTATTTGCAAGCGTTGTTCAGGCGTGAGTCAATTCATGATGAATTGCCAAACCAAACTGAGAATAAATCACTCGACAGCTGTTAAATCGGTCGCCATCTTGAACAGTAATGCCAACTTAAAGTTCTATACATCGAAAATAATAACCCTGTATTAAGAAGAAAAAGTATCCATGTAATTGGAAAAGATCAAGACTCCAAGTGTTACCATTCGACATCTTGTAATAATAAATGACATAATCAAAGTATTGTATCAGTGTCATTATTTTTTTGTGAATCTTTTTTATGGGTAATAAATTATTAATACAAATTAATTTGCGCTAATTCTATCGCAGTTTTATAACTACAGCAAACCCCATATTACCCTACGATAGCACAAGCAAAGTACAAAATAATTTCGTACTTTGCCTCAAGTGGGTTGGCAATGCGGATTTTGCTGTAGAGTGTAGAGTGCTTTGCCGGAATAGTTCTCCAAACCATATACCATTTTCACGACATAATCCGGTATTCAACTTTGGTAAATTTTTATGAAGGTCAAACCGCTAGCCTACATGGCTGGAGTTTCTCCTTCTAATCCTCAATAAATAGATTCATAATTTAACAATGACGGTGAGATTCCATTCTTACTTAAAAATGTTTTTTTTGTAAATATAAATTAAGGAGTTAATTTGGCTATAAAAATGTTAGAAGATTTATTTAAAAAATCGTCTGTGTATCGTCACTGGATTACTCCTCCACATTGACACGTTCTATACATTTTTTCCAACTAGAAGCAGAATTTTTTCTACTTTACTTCTAATTAATTCTTAATTAATTAACAAAATTGAATAAAATTAGTATTTGGTAAGAAATAATTTGAAATACAATATATACGGTACCTCAATAGAAATGGCACAATGAGTCTTGAAAAGCAATTCAATAACAGCAGTTGGTAATTATTAATTGCAAACACAACACGGAATAGAAATAACTCCAAAGCTTCCTCTATAGTCCGCTATACTCCGATTTCACCAACCCCCACAAATCAACCAGTAAGAAAATTTCCCAACTCTTAAAATACAAGAGTTCACGCGGCACAGTTCTGGTCGGCCAACATCTTAAATACGGCGCTGACTTGTGATACACGTGCTGAAAAGAATGGCCCCTTTCGCTTTAGAATAGGCGGGTTTTAACTAAACTCATTCCTAAGTGAAAACCATAAAAGGTTGTAAAAACGGTATATCCTTTGGAGAACTCTACCATTTGACCAAGAGGAACGGGCGGTAACCAATAATTTTGCTCTAATACCGCTTCCCAATAAAGAAAGAGTAAGAAAAAAAAGGTAAAAACAGGTAAAAAAATTCAGTCAGCTTAAGCGATTCAGGGAGACTATTGTAGGATCAACCGTAGTAGGCCAATAAATTGTGCAAGCGTATGAGAAGGTAGACAAGATTCTGGACTCAGTCAGTGGAATGTACAATGAGGCTATGAATTAGAAGTAGGTATAAACTTATCATAAAACAGGAAATGTTCATCAAAAATGTCAACTAAGATGTGATTAAAAAGCGTAAGCCCATAGGCATTAAGTACAAACAACTAAAATGATTAATAGGTACAAAACTGCTATTTACTATAATTTTATATATAACTATGGAGCAGAGCTTCATTATTACAGATCACGGTACCATCTCACAATGGATGTCAAAGACTATATTTCAAATTTTTCTTCGAATTGATTAAAAGACATATACAGTGTGTTTTAAATAGCGCCTGCTACGGGATCGATTAAACCAGAGAGAGATTATAACTTTTAATGCCCTTTGAAGAAAATAAAGCAGTGTTGTCAAATTGCGGCTGGCTTCTGGTGCACAGACGGCTATCCACTTATGAAACGCGCTATAAAATTCAAAGTTTCGGTATTTTGTCAGTCACTAAGAAATATTCAGCGGGTTCGGGACGGCATGCCCTGCGCGGTGTTCAGGTATGTGGTCGACACTACTGTAGAACCGATGACATATCTCATTAATTATGCCTTTATAGAGCTATAGCACTAGTATCCGTTTTTTCAAAAATATTCGAAAAAGCACTCCATTCAAGACTCTCAAATTTTTTGGAACGTCGAGACCTTTTTTCCGGCATGCAATTTGGTTAGTTGGTATTTATTAGAAGTAACGCCTTAAATTGGTTAAGGTCTTTTCTTGGGGGTCGTACGCAGTTGGTCAAATTGCGAGATATCTTAGGATTTGGATACGTCTCCGACTCCAGTTCAGTGAATTGCGGCGTACCTCAGGGAAGTTTACTCGGTCCTTAATTGCTCATAGTGTTTATAAATTATGTGTTTTCATCTTTCCCCCATACTTATTTTTCCCTTTTTGCGGATGATGCAGTTTTTACCATTTCTGCAGCATCGTCTGATCAACTTAGCATTGACCACGACAATTGTCGAGCAAATGAACATTATGCAGAAATTAACAAATTGATATTAAATGAAAGTAATATAAGATGATCGCCTTTTCAATACGGGATTTAAATAAGAGTGTATTAGTACGCTTCAATGAAAGCACCATCCAACAGAACAGTGTTGTAAAATTCCTCGGAGTTTATGCTTACTCTCTCCTGCTTACTGCTTTGTCATATGGAGGCTCCGCCGTCAGGTTTCTTTCCCCTTGTTAAAAATGTGCTATTTTTCCTATGTCTATTCCTATCTCAACTACGCCTTGGTCTGTTGGGAAGGTTCCTCACATGCGGAGCAAGTCTTTAGGCCGCAGAAACGCATTTTAGCAGTTAACTTTTTCATCTCGAAACTGTTTATTGAAGCTTCCTAGTACGTACATACTTTATTGTGGCAGTTATGTAAAAAGCAACTCATATTCTCTCAAGAAACTTAGATATTCAGTACAATTTAATACCAAATCTTAACATAAAAATACCTACACACCGACTGTCTCTTACGTCAAATAGTCCTATGGTTTTGACTGTAAAAATTTATAATAAATTGTCTATCGAACTGAAGGAGATAGCTAGTCAAACAAAATTCAAATGCACTTTAACAAAAAATTGCTACTCTTCGCCTATTACAATATTAAGGATTTTCTTCGTTGTGATACCTTTTAATACGTATTGCTTGTTTGCTATTGTTTATATATTTGTTATTTATCAAAGATTATTAATTATTATTATAATTATTAATGAATGAATTAATTAATTAATTAAGATAATTTTATATTGCATATTCGTATTGCAACTCAAGTTTTATGGAAATAGAGCTATCTTAATTTTTATCATTTTTTTGCACTCTATAACCACCGCCTCCGTTTCACTTTTGTGTTGCTTACCATTTTTATAGGAGATTCAGTTTGGATTCCCAGAAAGGGTTTCCGTTAAATCATTGGAAAATTTCAGAAAAAAATCGCGAGATGCAATTTCAACAATCAAAAGAATCCATACGCTCGGTTATTCAAAGGCGTAGCGAAAAGAACATTTTCCGAGGCGACGAAGGCATATAAAGCCAGCGCATTTTTTCTTTCCTTGTCCTACAATGTCAACAGATGTTGCCGCTATAGCGAATCCACCGCAATTTTTCTATATATGGATATAAATGGGACCG